GTTGAGGGACTCAATACACATTCATTTATAGATCCTGATCAAATGCCGGGTATATAGGATATAGGGAGCTTGTAACGAAACACGGAAACGAATAATATACACAGAATAAAGCCTTATTTTTACTTACACATCCTCGTGTTACTTGACAATATACTGGATAAAGCAGGTATGTGACCAGTTTTAATGTAATGGCAAAATTTAACAAATTTATTACAGAAACTATATAAGTATTTAGTACTCGGACCATGCTATATATAACAGCATAATCCATTAATCCCCCATTAAATTGCTCGTGGACATTAATGTCATTCTCAAATAAGAAATACATAGATATTACAATGCTATAAATTGAACGTCAGTATTATGTTGAATTTACCTTTAGCTTTACACATTTTTTTTTTTTGTTAATATCTGTTTCCATGCGAATTACATCCGGGGTATGGCGGGGCAAAAAAGAGGATTACCAAACATAAACTCAAGAGCAAGCAGATCGATCATTAATGAAAGAACGTCAAAAAATCTATACTTATAAATGAATAAATTTTGCAAATAAACTCCGAAAGGGGTGCACCAGAGTTCTTAATTACTCCTCTAACAATACAATATATACAAGATGATGTCCGTAAACTATATTTAGATTTCACTCCCATTGTAAGTATCGTACATTAAATTAAAAGTCTACTTTCATTTTCTATAAACGGCCATGAAATATCAAAAACGTGAGTACGGTGGCGTTTCTGGTTGGCGGATCTAAGTTACTGGCAATTTTTAATGAAACTGACAATAAGCAATCATTTATTTATTTCATAAAACGTCACCACTGAATTATTCAATCAAAACTTGATTTAAATGATATAAAAGAAATAAGTTGTGAAAACCAATTAAAAAGGGAAATGTGCAAATTATTTTCGAAATTCGCCGATCTTAATATTGACGGAAGCTTCTAGAACATCATATAGCATCGAGCCCGATGTTAAAACGAAAAACGAGGCGATTACAGCTGCATGAACATAAAAAAAGCTTTTGTGTGAATGGTCATTGAAATAATGGAAATCATTGATAACTCAATAAGTTGTGAATATATTTATATATCGAAAGACTATTACATATATGTAGTAGGTTTTCCTAATAAATTATCGGTAAAATTTGTATGTATTTCTTACTGAGAGCATCGTGGCAATCATTAGATCTTTAATTTCAGCAATCTGATTAAAATCAGATCTTTGTTACGCTCCGAAATTCTGATGGTCGCGAACATCAGAATTTCGGAGCGTAACAAAGATCTGATTTTAATCAGATTGTAATTTCAGTTACTGTATCCACATTTATACTATTAAAATATGAATTAAAATAAGAGCCAGAGCTTTATTAATTTAAAAGATATCTTGTCATTGGCAATCATTGAAAAATATTACGTCTTAAAAACATCCGAGAAATTTAAAATTAAAAGATACAAAGGACATAGGATTTTGATGTTGTAAATGTAAGACATCAACAGCGTATTGACCTTGACTCTTTGAATAAGTACAGCTATCATTTTGAAAACTTTCGATTTACTGTTACTTTGACACTTTGATTTACTTTAGAGATCACAATGAAAACTTTAATATACTGTAGTGATAACTTAGAAACTTTAATTTACTATAGTTAACTATAGTTTACTATAGTATTTTTTGTTAGGGTATGTTCACCTGAAAGGTCTCGTGTAGGTGAACTTAACTTTATATGATTTCTACAATGTTGGACCTCAGTCATCAGATAGTTTTACACGTAGGAATTATTCTATCATTATATAATAAGGCTTATTGTTACTTAGGAAGGACCTGCTACACAAACTTTAATCTGGCCAAGCACGTATAAAAATAGATCAGATGCCACTTTTGAAACATGGATGTTATCCTAGATTCCTTGCTGGATCCTTTATTTCAATTTTTGTCACTTTAGGGTTCATAGTTAAAGGAAGACAAACCGATAATTTGACATTGAACCATACGGCAACAACTGGTACATGTACATTTAATTTCTTTGTTACCGAAAACGACAGATAAAGTCACGTGACAATGTATTGAAGGTTCCTAATCCCTCAGTTCACTCATATAAAATGTTGCTTTAACGCTTGTGTTTTCCGAAAGAAATGTAGTTTATAAGGAAAGTGCTTATAAGGAAAACAGTTTAAGCATAGCTTGCGGGGCAAAATTGGACAAAAAAGACATTAATAGACATCCCATTAAGAGTTATCTCTCTTATCAGACTATCAATGAACCTTAAACCACATAAAAGAATGAATTCCAGAAGAAAATCTGCAGTTAACTTCAAATTAATAAAGTTTGTTCAATTAGCAATTGTATTTAAAAATCCCTTACACAATAAAGCACTAAAATTCAAATAGTTCTGATCTATAGAGAACTTAAAATTTGTGGGATGAAAGCATACTATATAAAGATATTACAACAAAATATAGAGACACGCCTTACTCAGAAAGTCATGTTATACTTAGTAATTCAGTACAACAATACAGAGATATGCCTTACGGGGAGTTTTAAATAACTCCCAATTTGGATGAAATTATTTAGGGATGTTGAATTTAGGAGACAGAAACCCTGTCGCAAACCTTTCGTGTGTGTTGATCACTGTTCAAAAGATTTCTCATGCAAATTGGTATAATTTTCCTCCTCTTTATGGAAAAAAATCTTCCTTTTTGTCTAATCATATACCCGTTTCATTGTTCAATTCTGTTGGAAAACTTGTAGCATTATTTGACAGTTAAATCAGGCAAATATTTTCATTGAAATATAATTTGTTTTACAAGTATCCGATATCGCTCCATTGTTTTTGTATGAAACATGTATAACTATGGGATTTTGAGATCTTTTGAAGAAGGACAACGTTGTTTTAATTATTTAGCTCACCTGCGCCAGCGTCTGATGTCAACTTTTCTGTTGAAAGTCTAACCGGCGTACATGTATATATGTCTGTATATTTATGGCTGGCGTTATCTCTTCGCACGTTCAATCTCTCTACAGATCCACTAAGAATTTTCAGCCAAACTTGGAAACCGTCCTCGAATAAAAGTAATTTGATTTCGAAGAAAAGAAGCAATGAACACCTATCCAAGGGAGATAATACATAAATAGTGAATAACATCCATTGGACCAAACAAGACAAAACTCAAACTTTTTCTCCACGAACAATTGTCATTTCTAAATATACATTCATGTATGTACATTAAAATCGTCGCTTTTAAGTTTTAATATTCGTCATGGTTCATTATATATAAATATAAAAATCAGTGAAAATATGGAAATCTGAATCTTCGACAATATTAAGTGCTGTTTTTGTAACAGATGGTACACGATAGTGACATAGACGGAAATCAAGCGTGGCTTTGAGACTGTAACGATATCAAAATACACCCTAAATATCTGTCATATAAAAAGCAAAGATTTCTAAGTATATTCATGATATTTGCTCTTTGTTCAAAAAATTCATCGATTTCCCTATGAACAGATACACATAAGCATAATAATTGTCATGAAAGATTTAAAACAGATCAATATGAAGGTGTTATATACATTACATTTACAGAATGTCAGACTATTTGATAATCAGACAATTGCAAAATACAACCTTGAATCAATATTTGCACCCATTTGTAAATTTCGTAACAGATCGATCATTATAGTGGTGTGTTAGAACACGCGGTCGTCCTAATTATTCCCCCCTACCCAACGATCCGTGATCTTTACACAATGGTTCATTTTAATCCTCTACCCGTTCTCCTTAACTGATTTTCCTAAATAAAGCTTCTAATGGCTGCATCACAAATTGTAATAATAGGTTACAATATCACTACACGCGAGCGTTCTAGTTTCCCACCTCTTCATTAATTACCCGTGTCTGCAGGGCTCCCTTCCCGTTCTGCATGCCTGGTCAATGGTTTCATATAAGCTTTAAAAACCTTAATGCAAACACATTAGGGGTGAATTTTTGGATTAAGGAAGTGAGATTTCGAAATTCCCTGAAAGGTAATGATTATTTATGACAGCTTCATGTTGATATAATGGTCTTTTGTATAAACAGGTATTATATCGATTTTTATATAATAATACAAAAGGAATTCTATGGAAATCTTTACATGAGGTAGGTATGTTGCCTAAAGTTCAAATAAGATTCTAACATTGTAGTAGTTTCTTTTTAATTTGGTTAAGAAAATCCTGTCTTCAAGCTTTTGTAGTTATTGATCTCTGCAATTCTTGGGTAGATTCATTCATTTCAAAATAAGCAATGTCTAACTAAGGCCGGGGGGTTCGGAAATCCTCGGATTTATTCTATAAATTGATATCAGTATCTTGGTTTACCTGAGGCTGGAGAGCTGCTATCGCCCTTGTTATCCATTTTCACCTGAGTCCAGGTGTATACTGTATAGATAAACATGTCCACAGTGACAGGTAAACCGGATTTTCCTATTATATAACTTTTAATTCTATATAAGAATCAAACAAGCACTGATCCCCCAAGAAATACTATTTTCATATATATTTATATGATTTCTTTGATGTACAGGTATTTATAAGATTATTGTTGTGATGTATTTATCGTGGATTCTTATTCAGGTGAGTCGTATTCACAAACTTTACTAAAATCGTAACAAAACACGTTATTTTAGGTGAAATGAGAGCTGCTTTCAACACTTAATGGTACGGCAAAAGAAGAGAGCATAACGCATGATTTCTACGGAGATATAAAAACTGTGAATATCGAATTTTTTATCAACGATCGTACCTGTGTACCAGGTATCTTGCGCCTCCATAACTGGGCGTGTATATACGTTTCTGTAGCCATTCCAGTCCTAGATATTGTATGTAGACATTTCTACCAGAACAGTGTAGCCCCGCTGTGATTCATATACAGATCAAAAATTACTGATGTTTTGGTACTTGTGTACGGATGTAACCGGTGGATGAAGTGAATCACAGGTGTTTGTCAACATCGTTTTTTTTACTTGTTCTATAATTACCCCAGCATCAGGAGGCCATGGCTCTAGGCCTAGGAGGACAATTCTTATTGTTGCTGTGGAAGGAACTTCTGTTGTCTCGCCGGAAGTTGTGTTCTCTCGTCTTTCAGTTCGTTCTGCCTCTAGCCTTTGCGGCGTTTTTAATTGTGCTTCGTTTTCTGGTAGAGAATGAAAGTGTTCCGGAAACAATCTGGTCGCCATTCCAGTTGGACAACTTTAATGGTACTCTGTCGTCAAACAAGACTGAGGTATTGTACTCTCCCAACACGGCTAAGGCAGCAGAAATCATGACGGATGTGCAGACAAATCTATATAGTGGATACACAGGTATATATACTCCCGGGGAAGTTTAGTAAACCTTCCACATGAATACTAATATATAAACATAGTAAACCTTCCAATACAACATTTTCTCTCGGAATACTTAGTGATATGGTAAACCTTCCCAATTTTCTCCCTGAGTATTAACTATATATACAGTACACCTTCCGGATAACAAAGTCACCTGGAATGTTTACTATTTAGTAAACCTCCCCCCGAGATGTTTTACTAGGAATGGGTATCGCCAAAAATTTCGTATCGTGATATATCACGATTCCCCCTCACCCCAAATATCACGATAATATCGTGATATTTTTACACGGAATTTTTACTACAATTTCAAACGAATTTCTATAATTTTTCTTACCAAAAAAAAAAAAAAAAAAAAAAAAAAATCATTTTTATTTATATAATATAAAGCATGTTTGGATGCCGTAGTTTAACTTATTTAACATTTTTTAGACTTCCTGTAATTTTTAATTAATAGTTCGAAGATATAAGTGAATAATTTCTGGAGTTTATAATTATGTACCAAATACCGGTATTTAAGTCTCCGTATCACGCAATAAAAAATCACGATATACCGGTATACCGATAAAATCGTGCATTCCTATTTCTTACCCGTGTATTGTTTATTTATTCAGGAAAAGTGCACATAGAATATATCAAGAATGACAAATGAAAAGTAACATACAAAATACAAGTAAAAATTTCATAAGGTCTTAAAACAAAATCAATAGACAACCCAAAGAAATAATCATGAAAATTGATTAAAAATCAAATGAGTATGTACACAGGGTATTTAGCCATTTCTCAGAGGATACCCCATGAAAGGCATAATAATTGCATAAGCACTAGTATTTTAGTTTGGATATAATCAAATTGAAATAAGTATTACTAAATAATTAAACAAGACAAGTATGATAAAAGTAATAATATATATAAACTGATTTTTAGTCATTGATCTCATTTTAGACGAATAAGAGTCTATTTAAAATTAAAAAAAAAACTTTTTTAAAGTTAGATTTGTATTCAGTGGCTTTTAGCTTAATTGGAAGTGGGAAACACTTCTTAATACCATTATCATAATTAAAAATCGACCTCTTTTCTAACAACTCTGGGGACCATTAAAATACCTTACTGGATCTAGTTGTTCTTGTAGAATTTTGTGTAAAATTGTCAGATAAATGATAAAGACATTTAATACGAAAAAATATTGAAAACCTGGTTGAGATGAAGACGATAATCTCTGTTACAAACGTTAAAAAATACTACTTTTTCAAAATCTAAAGGAAATTCTCTTCCTTGAATGACTACTGAACAGATTACAAACCTTCCCTTGGAATATTAACTTTATACGTTCACCTTCCCAATAGCAGATCTTTCCCTGGAACATTAACTTTATATGTATACACCTTCCCAATAGCAGATCTTCCCCTAGAATATTAACTTTATACGTTCACCTTCCCAATAGCAGATCTTCCCCTGGAATATTAACTTTATATGTACACCTTCCCAATAGCAGATTTTCCCCTGGAATATTAACTTTATATGTACATCTTCCCAATAGCAGATCTTTCCCTGGAACATTAACTTTATATGTACACCTTCCCAATAGCAGATCTTCCCCTGGAATATTAACTTTATATGTACACCTTCCCAAGATCTTTCCCTGGAACATTAACTTTATATGTACACCTTCCCAATAGCAGAGCTTTCCCTGGAATATTAACTTTATGTGTACACCTTCCCAATAGCAGATCTTTCCCTGGAACATTAACTTTATGTGTACATCTTCCCAATAGCAGATCTTCCCCTGGAATATTAACTTTATACGTACATCTTCCCAATAGCAGAACTTTCCCTGGAACATTAACTTTATATGTACACCTTCCCAATAGCAGATCTTTCCCTGGAATATTAACTTTATGTGTACACCTTCCCAATAGCAGAGCTTTCCCTGGAATATTAACTTTATGTATACACCTTCCCAACAGCAGATCTTCCCCTGGAATATTAACTTTATATGTACACCTTCCCAACAGCAGATCTTTCCCTGGAACATTAACTTTATATGTACACCTTCCCAATAGCAGATCTTCCCCTGGAATATTAACTTTATGTGTACACCTTCCCAACAGCAGATCTTCCACTGGAATATTAACTTTATATGTACACCTTCCCAAGATCTTTCCCTGGAATATTAACTTTTTATGTACACCTTCCCAGTAGCAGATCTTTCCCTGGAATATTAACTTTATATGTATACACCTTCCCAATAGCTGACCTTCCCCTGGAATATTAACTTTATATGTATACACCTTCCCAATAGCAGATCTTTCCCTGGAATATTAACTTTATGTGTACACCTTCCCAATAGTAGATCTTTCCCTGGAACATTAACCATCAAACAAAGCTTCTTCCCAATATAATGGCTGTACATATCATGTTGTATACTCTAAATTTATTCGATGGAGGTTAAATTAAAATTTAAAATATGATATAAAAAACCTGCCTCTCAAATTATTTACTTAGAGCGTAAAGTAATTTCCTCAGGGGGAAGTTTATGAAATTATGGTTAAAGGGGTACCTGGGTGTACCACCATATGGCAAAAGCAAGAATTATTTGTTTTCAGACCTGAATATTTTTCTCTCAATTTATTTGACTAAATATTATTTTTAGGACTTGAAAACGGCATTTTCTTATTTTCTAATCATCAATAATTCAATAAAGATGAAATTCACAATTAAATCGGTATCATGGGTGGGAGTCTACATTATAACGAAATGCTAGTATATTCCCCCACAGAAAAAAAAACACGGTTCGAAGGAAGAAAGGTTTATTATGCAGAAGAAATGCCAATAATATAATTCTAAAATTGTTTTCAGATGCATTTCTGTGTTTTGTTTCTTTTTTCCCAGTCTTTTTTTTTTTTGGGGGGGGGGGGGGGGGGAATGAATGAATGTAAGAATTTTTTCTTCTAATTCTACCGTATATTAATTTTCTAATATTTATTATTTAATTATTATACTCGGTTACTTGTTAAAAATATTTTTTCTAGGAAGCAGTATACTTCAATTATACATCACGTAAACTATGCAAGTGGTTTAATATTGTATAAGTTTATAGATATAAGACAAATTTAGACTATGTAAAGTTGGTCACTGCTTGAATTGAATTTAAAATAATTTGTCAACTTCAAAATTTGAGTTTGATTCACGATCGATATTAAAGATCTCAATTGGCCTCATAAGTCCCATCAACATAGGAATGCCTTCAAAAAGTCTTTTACCTAATCACTCATTTGAAAGATGAAGATACTATATAGCCTCACAAACCACAAATATTTCATAACTAAATTGATCTATGATAAACTTTTATCAACACCACACCTTTCTGAGTCCCCGGGGAAGAGATCGTTCTTCATACTCTAATGCATATCTGGCCGGTCATATTAAACAGGAATTCTTTCTACCTGAAATCTGACAAGCTTGAACAAACTTGATAAAACATTTGTATGCTTGTATTTGAATTCGCTTTTGATGAAAAAGCATTTCCATGACGACAGTTAATGTATACATTGTAACACTAATGTTTTCTTATAGTAAAAGCGTTTGCCAATGAGGGTTCACTGGAGTCCTATCAAGAACTCCACAAGGACAATGTCTGGGCCGCCGTCGTGTTCGATACCTCTTCAAGTGACTACTCGACCGCCATACCAAATCAAATCAAGTACACCCTCAGGGTAGCGCGGGAAAACGCCGACGATAGATGGCGGACTGATAATACTTACCCCTTTTTCAGAGTTCCCGGATACAGAAACAACGAGGCCCTAGGAGGGGAACCTAGTAAGTCCCTATTTTTGGTTTTGAATTCATGTATAGATAGGGATTCCTGAGATGTTTGACGAGTAACTGAGTAATAACAAACTTCTATAGATGATTTACTCTAAGCATAAAAGGTTTGCAATCCTGTGGCATATACAAGAGTTATCTACTGGAATAGTCTGATTCAGAATATTAATAAATTGGCGAGGGTCAAAGCTTTATGATAGTCAGGGTTTAGTTAATTAAGGATACACCAAGGGTTTCCAAATGCCAGAATTTCATTTGCATGTAATTCTTTCATTATCAAAGATAACATAATAAAAGTATATATCATTTGAAAGCTTGTTAAATTTACAATTTAATTATCCTAATTTAAACTTTAATTAATAACTTATTTAAAAATTATTTAAATATTAATGTAAATTTTAGTGCATAAATATTTTATAAATCAACTTTTTTGTATTGAACCGCTCAAAGTGGTCATTTTGCCTCAAGGTAGATTAAAGATTGAACTTAAAAACTGTATCTCAGATTTTTGATAAATCTTCTGATTCAAAAGTTACAGCCATTTGCCCTTCAATATTACCAATTTATTAGCCTAATTTAACATTTCCCTCAGTAATTCCAAAACTAAGCTAGATATTAAAAATCTGAGATACGGTTTTGTGAACACACATTTGAGAAGCAACCCATCCAATTTTCAGAGAAATTGGTCCATAAATAAGGGAGCTGAATCCTTTGAAATAATACCACAAACTGTCTGATCTTACTTTACAGTAGAGGGCAAAAACCCATTACACAACAAAATCTGCCAAAGCTAGGAATATATGACACCTTGGAGATTCAGCTTTGGATACCTGTCACTTAGCCATATTTCCCATGCATATTCACAAGAATGGGAGGTTCTTTTCTGTATTTAGATGCTTTTAATTAAGTAAAATAGGTTCAATTCTGAATCAGAAAGATTTCCCGGCAAAATGGCAAGAGCTAAGCTCCACCTCCTATTTTATGGTCATCAGTGATCTGTTAGATCTCCTTCTCTAAATCTAGAGTCCCTGTAGTTTAATTACTGATAATCTCTGTGTGGCTAGTGAAGAATTCCCCAAGTGATCACAGTGATTTATTGCGTCTTTCATGAGCAGGCAGTCACAGATCAAATCAGAAGCTTCAATAACGGAACATTCACATGTGGTAGTGTTTATGTTTCATTATTGTTAAATAATTAGAAAACCATTTCATAATTACCCAGAATTTTGCATGCATTATAAAGCAGTGATTAACTTCTTTTTCTTAGCCAAAAATCTCAAAATTGTTGAAAATCTTGAAAAAAGCCTTTGGTGTATCCTTAATACATGTATTATTAGCTAATTAATACATCTATGTATTGATAATCTACAGATTATTACAAGACCGGCTTCCTTAGTCTCCAGTACGAAGTGGGTCGCGCCATTATTAACAAACAATCAGGGAACACCAACTTTGACAACCTGGATTTCTACATGAAGAAGATGCCGTACCAGGATTTTATTAAGGACAACCTAATCAGTGTGCTACAGATTTGGCTGCCTTTCTTTATCATGCTCAGTTTCATCATCACAGCTCTGCAGACGACAAAAGGTGTGACGTATGAGAAGGAAAAGAGATTAAAGGTAATCTCAACTGTATTTTGTTTTTACGGGACCAGAGGCATCATACGATATTACACATTTTACTACAGGTGTAATGGAGCTGTACAATATAGCGCGCCTGACCTCTGGGACTCGTTAGAAAGCATAGAGAGCGAAATTTTACTTCAATACATCTATTTTATACATTTTCAAATGTCTTTGTCGGAGATTAAATTCAATTAGGTAATAGCTTTATAACCTTATAAAGCGATCTGCTCATCACATAACAGAAATGCATGTTTTCTCGCTGTTTAGCGTAGTAATATTCTGGGCGGGGCTTGCTGAGGTTTCTTATAATAATTGAATAAAAATACTTTTTAATTGAATCTTGGATCAGGAAAAAATATTAATGTAAATATTAGGAAAAACACCTTTTTTTGTTTTACTTTTTTGATGATGTTCCTTCTGAGTTTATGTAAATTATCACGCAAGCAAACTGATTGACCACATTATAAAACCAAAAAAAAAAAAAGAAAAAAAAAAGAAAGATAATAATAATAATAATAAAAAACTAGACAGTTTTTCCTTAAATAAAATATAGTTCGACCGAGAGGCAGTGTTTAAAAAACTAGATAAATAATAACAAAAAAGCTTACTCAAATTGTAAAAGCTTAAAAGATTTTTCAAGGAAAAATTGAGGGGCTAACAATCATAGAGTCAACAATTGTTAATTTTTAAATCATATATCATATCGTTTTAAAGATATTTAGAATATACATGTATGATAGATAATGGTATTAGGTGTTTCACATGTAACACTATTACATGAAACTGTGTCAAATGAAAGATCACTTTAACAAAAAAATAATTTTTTTTTATCCATCTCATCATGAGAGTCATGGAAATGTTTTTCATCTGAATCCAAGATTAGAAGACACCTGAAAAAGGAGTGTATAAAGAAATATCCCGCTAAGTTGTCTTGTTGATCATTACACACTGTCTGTATCATCATTATGGTTGAACATGATAAAACTCAAAGAAAAAGGATGCAACAAATTTTCATTCAAGTCATGCCGTTTCATTAGATTAATGCTGAAGACACTTTGTCCCTTTTAAACTGGCAAGTTTTTGAAACAATTTTTTTTACTCACAGTGTGATGGATAATATTTTTTCCCCAACAATTAAAAGTCCAAAATAATTACAATAATTACAAAGTCACTGAAGTCAATGTGTCATCACTCTTTTGTAGCGGTTGTCAGATTCAGGGCTCTAATCAAAGATTCATCAAAATGAAATACGGCTTGGAATTAGAATATACGGCAATTACTTTATGTGACTTATTGATTTCATGTATTTTATGACTATACCTTTTGCTGTGGACAGTATACCGATCTATTAATCCAAGAAACATCAAATCTACTTCGTCTTTGGAATGTTTTTGTAAATAGCTTTGTGTCACACCGGTAATTATAATGATCAGGTGTAATAAACATGTCTGTTGTCGACCTCTTACTTGAAGATGGATTCTTAACCATATTAAGATTAGTTCTTAGAATTCGTTATATAGCAATTTTATTTTATAAGTACATGTCCTGGTTCCTGTCCCTTTTGTCTCTACAAAATTTTTACCAAATGAGTGTGCCTCTTGGCAGACCGATGACGGGATTTTGATTCATGACTCCGTTTGGGTGTCTGGTTCTCAGACTTTTATAGACGTATGAAGAGTGTGGTCTTGAGCCCTTTATAGACCTATGAGGAGTCCGGTTTCAGCCTTTTTTAAAAAGACCTTTGAGGAGTCTGATGTTCAGCCCTTTCTAGAAGAATGAAGAGTCTGGCTCTCAGACCTTTACAGACTTGGGTCTGGCTATCAATCTTTTTGTAGATCTATGTATATCACAAAGGATTATGCCGTTTTCTCTGTGCTCTGTTATGCATTGTTTCTTTTCTCTTCAACACAAATGATAACAGTACAACAAACACAAGCTATTGATCAATAGCTAAGTGTCATCCTCGGGGAGAAATATATCTTTACAATAGACTCAATCATTTTCATTTCATTTCATTTATTGTATATTATACATATATCAAGGCAGGTCATTCGCCGAAACAAGTGATGAGTTCATATTAAGCAAGGGGGTATCATCTTTTTTCAGTGTGATTCTGTAAAATTAAAGTATCTAAAAGAAAGATGTTGTCACTTTTCCTTTATGTCAAGGTTTTGTACATATACGTTTATGGCATGTCAAACGTTGTAATTCTATTTGAGTAGACTAAGTATATTTCATCATTTGTTTTGTAAAAGAATTTTTATTTGTATTAAATAATTGTATATTTCAAAAAATATGCAAAACATGTATAATTTAAAAATCAATATTTTTGAGAGTAGGTCAGAAGCCAGGTTCAAGGTCATGAAGTCGGTATATAAACTGCCCCTTTAAACATCTATTGGCAAGCACACTGTATATGCTAGGCACATAAGCCATGTCGTATATACTTCAAAAAGTCTTAAAATAAGCAGTATACTCAGTACATACCAAATAGCAAAGCCCTGCCTCTTATTGTATCGATCGTTCTGAAATGTAGATCAAAGGTCAAGTTAAGGTCACAAGATAAAGAAGCGGTATATTTGCGAAAAAAATTTCCAAGCAGTACATGTGCACAATATAGTATCCCTACCATTTACGAATGGAAAAAGATGGAATACGAAAGACAGAGACAGACAGAGACAGCTAGACAGACAGCCAGAAAAGGCAGGCAGACAGACTGACAAACAGAGTAGACAGACAGACACAGACAGACAGACAGAACTAACAGACAGGCAGACAGACAGAGAATGAGTTAATCATTGGCTGTCAATCTGTCCTTAAGGCAAATAGGAATGTGTGATACCGTGATAATTTTTAAAGAAATGTAATTTATGACATCTTTTTTTAACTAGGAATCTATGAAGCTGATGGGAATGAGCGAAGCCATGTACTGGGCCGCTGTCTTCGTCAAGGCCATGATATTCCTGCTCCTGGCCTCTGCATTCTTCATCCTGTGTATGTTTGTTAAGGTGGGAGAGAATGGCCGTGTGTTCAATGCCTCCGATCCTTCCCTAATCTTCGTCTTTTTCATCATTTATGACATTTCTCTCATCACTTTTTGTATAACGGTCAGCACGTTTTTTAGTAAAGGTATGTGCTTGAATGTAATTTTGACATCTTGAAAAGTAAACTTAAGCATGGGTCCGTCATTTATAATCGCAAAAATATGCTTAATTTTTGCAAAACAATTCTTTAGATAAAGAATTCAGTTTCATTCTTAACGTAGTGAAAGTTCGCCTGCGAATGGTCCATGATGTTATTTTTGCAAGAAATTTTGCCTGTTTTTGAGATTCTTTGCACTATCGTATTTCAGTGACCTAGTACAAAATTTCTCAGTTAAATCCTCCATTTTTTTTCCAGCCAACACCTCGGCCTATGCGGGGGGTCTACTGTACTTTGGATTCTTTTTTCCGTGGTTCTTCCTAAACACAGAATACGAAACTATGAGTACAGGAGCAAAAGTAGCTTCCTGCCTACCCTTTAATACAGCAATGGCGATGGGCTTCAACATCATCGGAATACACGAGGGAACAGGTTTGATACTATTTTGTTTTTAGTATTAAGAATCGATATGAGTTTGTATTTGATGTTTGTTAACGTGCATAAAATACATCCAACAATCATGACAATTGAAATCAGATTTCCAACCCTCCAGAAGTGTTTAGGAAATAATTAGAAATGCACAAATGCATGCTTTCTAAATTTCAGTTTGTTTCGAATAGGCATATTTTTTTCAAATGAAATTTTTGAGACAATACTGATTGTACGCATAACCGACACCTTCTGACCAATATTATACAGTGCCCTATCCAAATATAAAATATACAAAATCGAAAACTTATAAATTAAAACATTTATCGCTCTACAAATATCACCAGCTTCCCTTCGGAACACACGTGTAGTGAAGTTCATTAAAATTTGTCGATAGCCTTTGAAATATCCCCACATAGCGCTAATGAGGGTAAAAATGGATTTTTTCTTTAGCATACACTTTTTTAATTGAATCAAATTCTTATCAGATTTGCTCTTTCTTGCCGTTGAGCAAATCCTAACTTAATACAGTTCTTGTGCAGCTTACAGAGTTTTCCAGTACTTTATTGTAGCTAAATATACGTAATTCATGAAGTACGAGTATCTTTTTTAAAGCTATCTGTGAGAATTATTCAAATAGTTTGTTCTATTTACCAGTTCTGTCTTACTTATATACATAATGAGTAGTTTCAAACCATTTCTAATTGTGTTCAAGAAGAGTACATGTAATTATGCATCAAGTAAGTAATCAATTTTCAATATATACTTGGTTAAATATATTGTTGTAAAGTTTGAATTTACTAGGCGAAGGTAAATGCAAAATTTACAACATGATATAAATATTGTTTCAAGACGTAAACGAGTTATATATAAGGAGGACGATAGAAAAATTAAAAAGTACTAAAGTAGTAGTCAAAATAGAGTGGTGGATCCTAATTTATGTTACACAATTACACAGGGCGCTTTGTGATGTAAAATTGCTTTCACAGTTGGATTGGTCTAGGCATTGTGAGGAATCATTTTATGAAAAAAAGCTAGAGACAAGAATATTTAATGCAATATGCCAATAACAATTTCACTAAATACGTCAGCCGGTATTAGCTGAGTATAATATGATACTATTTTATTCATTTAAACATAATGCACAACAATGAAGCTGCTGTAAACATGACACCAGCCATTTTTATTGCCTGGTTGATTCTCTCCATTGTTTATAACACTTACATGTAACGTCAAGCGAAAGATCCTGTAAATTGTACATATAAATACCATTGTACAGAATGATTGAAAAATAAACTTGGAATATCTAAGTAGATGCAGTCAAATCTTGAGAAATTGTTTAAAGAAAAATAGTTAAATTACATGTAAATAAATAATAGAATATAAAGGGAAATTAATCTTTTTCAGTGTAAGAGAAGTGAATCAAGTCTAAATCTGCATTTGTTTCAATAGATCTGTAGCAGTATCATGTGCTAACTGTAAAAATGTAATGAGAGTTACGTCAACTTTCATTTTGTTTCCGGATAATAGCTAATTATCATGGAGTTTAACAAGTTGTTCTAATTCGCCCGCGTGGCGCAGTGGTTAGAGCGTTTGCTATAGAGTCGCGGAGTAAGGAGTTGAAATATGGAGAATGGTGTGCAGTTTATTCATGAGATTGCTTCCACGTGATTTACTTCTCATTAATATTCATAAGATCATGCATAAACTCGAAATATCCATTTCCTTCAATTTTGATATTAAAACCTGCAAGCCAGGTTCATTTTATTTTTTTTCAAACCTCCGTCATAGTTATATGGGTAGAATTTTGAGTTATTAACATTTGACAACTCACAATACCAATTTTTTAAATCATAAATAGGTCACATTGATGCAAGAAATTGTCGTTTTCAAATTAAAAAGGCGGTCGTAACTCTTCGCCAAATGATAAGTTATCTGTATTTAATAAAAAAAAAATCATCAGAATATAGATATACATATAGATAAACATTTCACCATCAAACATGATAAAAACACCAACTCTGTGCTCTTTCCTTCAATAGAACAATATATTCTCGCCTCGAATTTTCACTTTGGTATCAACAATCTTGTCATTTCCGGTAGAAGATATTAAGAAAAATCTAACCATTAGCGGAAGAACTTTATCCGAAACGGTTAATATATAAAAAATATTTTCTCTATATAAACTTTCATGGAAACTGCCGCCATTATAGCTCCAATATGACTGATATGCAAATGAGCAGAATGTACATCATTTCTCCATATGATGATCCTTACATCGCGGGTCGAATTCCACTGCGGGACGTGGAGAACGGTCCTTGGGATAAGTCTGTATAACCCGAGGTCCCGTGTCGCAGTAGGTGCTGGCAGGAAAAAGAGCCCTCACTGCTCAATGGCCCTGAGTGCCCAGTATAGGTCTAAATTTACAGCCCTCCACCGGCAGGTGGTGGCGTCTCCATATGAGTGAAAAATTCTCGCGAGGGACGTTAAAAAACAAACCAACAAAACAAGTCGTTCTTGGATTAGTCTTAATATAATGTATTATATTACTCTGATTGTCTGATATCGTAAGGGTACAATATCAGTACAGAAATAAAGTATGAGATTGAAAATTTAGGAATGAATGTAATTTTTATGTAAAATCAGTGTGTATTACGTTAGATGATTGCTGACACCTTATTTTGAGAGAGATTACAGCCCAATTTTGTGAATTTAATTCTGTCTGAATAAAAAAGAATACTCTGCCTACCATGGAGAGATTACCAATTGATCTGAGCGCCTTTCAGTACTTTGTTATTCACTTTTAGGTGAGGGCGCTCAGTGGAGTAATTTTAACAAACCGCCCTCTGTTGACGACAACTTCTCCCTAGGCGGAGTCATGTTGATGCTGATCCTAGATATTGTCATACATCTTCTGGTCACGTGGTATGTTGGAAACGTTTTCCCGGGAGAATTTGGAATTCCCAGACCGTTCTACTTTCCATTCACGGTAAATAATTTCAGTTTCATACAAAAGTTTTACTTACTAGATGTCAATTAAATGTTTTCATGTAACCCAAAAGTGTATTGAAGATCAAAAAACATTAAAGCGCTAAAAATACTTTATAAAAAACGATCTAAAATAATAATACTGTGAAGTCACTAAGTTCTGAAGGGGTGGGGGTAATTTTCGATGTTTTTGTAGTATGAAGTAATGCCCCCCCACGAAACGTCTCATACAACTGTATCATGTTTGTTTTTCAAACACAAAATTAAATCCCCTCGATTGCACACCTATTCCACCTTTTGATTGAAAAGATGTTAATTCCCTTTAACATTTAGCAATGTTACTGGTTATGTTTCAAGATAGGAATTCTTAATACTAAGACTGTTTTTAACAGTTATCTCTCGCTGTTTATTTCTATATTTAGCTCCCATACTGGTGCTGTTGATTTCTACATTTACCAATCTTAATGGGGCTTTTTATATTAAGCGATCCAATTGGGGTTATATACCGGTATTTAAAATTTAGCGATGTCACTGGGCTTGTTTATTTTTAGTCCCCTACCGGTGAAACCGGAGGGGACTATAGGTTTCCTCTGAGTCTGTCCGTCCGTCTGTCTGTCTGTCTGTCTGTCCCTCTGTCTGTCAGTCTGTCCCACTTGGTTTTCCGCACTTTTTTCCTGAACGCTTGCAGATATTGAGCTGATTTTTGGTATGCGAGCGTATGTTGATGAGTTACAGATCAAGTTTGCATTTCGTTCCGCTTCATTGATTTTTGACGGAATTACGGCCTTTTCAATTTTTACGGGTTTTCCGCAATTTTCTTATAAACGCTTGCAGATATTGAGCTGATTTTTGGTATGTGACTTTATCTTGATTATTTATAGATCAAGTTTGCATTTCGTCCCGCTTCATTAATTTTTGACGGAATTATAGCATTTTCAATTTTTAACGGGAACCAGATTACACTTGCCGGTAGGGGACTATTATTGCTGATGCAATACTCTCAGAATGCTTGTTATATTTAGCAATATTACTAGGCTGTTTTTGTCTACATTTAGCAATGTAACTGGGCCTGTTTATTTTTATATTTAGCAATTTTGTCTGCATTTAGCGATGTCACTGGGCCTGTTTGTTAGTTCCCTACCGGTGAAACCGTATGGGGACTATAGGTTTCCTCTGCGTCTGTCCGTCTGTCTGTCTGTCTGTCCTTCCCTCTGTCTGTCTGTCAATCTGTCCCACTTGGTTTTCCGCACTTTTATCCTAAACGCTTGCAGATATTGAGCTGATTTTTGGTTTGTGAGTGTATCTTGATGAGTTACATACCAAGTTTGCATTTCGTTCCACTTCATTGATTTTTGACGGAATAACGACTTTTTCAATTTTTAAGGGTTTTCCGCAATTTTTTTCTAAACGCTTGCAGATGTTGAGCTGATTTTTGGTATGTGACTTTAACTTGATTAGTTAAAGACCAAGTTTGCATTTCGTTCCACTACAATGATTTTTGACGAAATTATGGCATTTTCAATTTTTAACGGGAACCAGATTACACTTGCCGGTAGGGGACTAGTATTACTAATGCAATATTCTCAGAATGCTTGTTTTTAGTCCCCTACCGGTGAAACCGGAGGGGACTATAGGTTTCCTCTGAGTCTGTCCGTCCGTCTGTCTGTCTGTCCGTCTGTCTGTCCCTCTGTCTGTCTGTCAGTCTGTCCCACTTGGTTTTCCGCACTTTTTTCCTGAACGCTTGCAGATATTGAGCTGATTTTTGGTATGTGAGTGTATGTTGATGAGTTACAGATCAAGTTTGCATTTCGTTCCGCTTTATTGATTTTTGACGGAATTACGGCCTTTTCAATTTTTAAGGGTTTTCCGCAATTTTCTTCTTAACGCTTGTAGATATTGAGCTGATTTTTGGTATGTGGCTTTACCTTGAATAGTTATAGATCAAGTTTGCATTTCGTCCCGCTTCATTAATTTTTGTCGGAATTATGGCATTTTCAATTCTTAACGGGAACCAGATTACACTTGCCGGTAGGGGACTAGAATTGCTAATGCAATACTCTCAGAATGCTTGTTATCTTTAGCAATATTACTAGGCTGTTTTTGTCTACATTTAGCGATGTCACTGGGACTGGTTTTCTGCGTTTAGCGATCGTACTTGGGGCTATTTATTTCTACATTAGCAAACTACGTAGTGATCTCAAAGGGGCTATTTATTTCTACATTTAGCGATCTCATGGGGGCTTTTTATTTCTACATCTTACTGGAGCTTATTTTTACATTTAGCACCATAACTGGGGCTGTATATTATACAACGTATACATTTGTGGTATCTCTCTATTATATAAACATACAGAGAGCTAATATCTTCATACCTGTATGAAGTTTTTAGAAGGTCATATGTCATTACGTGACCTAATCACACAGCGCAGTAATATCTACATAAAAAGACTTACTCTACTTAGCAATATAGCATGTTTTTCATGCATAAAAATGTACAAAATACCCAAGTAAAATAATAATCATTTTATTTACCATGTAAACAAATCATTAATACAGTTCTTGATCGATTTTACATAGAGAATAGAAAACTACTTGTTATAAATTTCATGTCTGAGCTGCATAGTCTCAACGTTTACCCTTATTTTTCTTGTAGACCTCTGAATGCTATATTTTTTTTTCATTAAACTTTACTCACAATAAATTTGAAAATCTGTTGGAAAATATCAATGTAATGCAATCACGCCACAAACAGCTGACAAACACTGCATTTCGGAAGTTCGGTAGGCACACCTCCATCATCGAGATCGTTGTCTTAACTGTTAACAATGTGAACTGTCGCCTGTGTCTCCGTGTCAACATCATAATAAATATGCCTTGTTGAAATCGTAGATTTTTTGTTTCTGATCAAATTTTAAACTTGATTCCAAGTTAACTGGTCCGGACAAGTGTCTCCATCCATCCCTTTCCGACCGAAATTCCTCCAACTTTTTATTATCAAACATCGGACGTGTTTCTTGTTTTTTTTAACATCGAATATGGAATCTCACGAATACAAAAATTCCCAGACACCAATATGCTCACTATAATTGATCACAAGTAGCCTTTCACAGAATATTCCCTTCAAAACAGAATCCTTTGCCAGATGAATTTGAAGCGTAACCGCTTTTCAAGCCGATTTACACCTTGCGTAATTTGTCAAAATCGACGACGAACGGTTAGTGCAATATTTATATTCGATTATATTCGATTGTCCGTCTCAAATGTATATATAAGTAATAAATAACAAGTTTAAAAACTTCACTGGGAAATGAAGTGGGTCGGTACGTGATCAAATCTTCTGAGCAGGCCTTCGGCCATCACAGGATTTGATCACGTGACCGACCCACTTCCAAGAGAAGTTTTTAAACTTGTTATTTATTTCTTAATTATGCGCTCTTACTGGGGCTGTTTATTTGCACATTTAGCACCTTTACTGGGGCTGTTTATTTGCACATTTAGCACTCTACCTGAGGCTGTATATTAATGATTTAGGGCTGTTACTGGGGCTCTTTATTTATAAATTTAGCGATCTTACTAGTACTGTTTGTTTACCATTTAGCAATATTACTGGCGCTGTTTATTTAACATTTAGCGCTCTTATAATTACTAGCTAGGGCTGTTTATTTCTACATTTAGCACCCATATTTGAGCTGTTTATTTAACGTTTAGCAATCTTACTGGGGCTTTTTATTTTTATATTTAGCGATCTTACTGGCGCAGTTTGTACATTTAGCAATCTTACTAGGTCTGTTTTTTTAACGTTCAGCAACCTTACTGGGGCTGTTTATTTTAACTTTAGCGATCTTACTGGGGCTGTTGTGATAAAACAGAGAAAGACTTCGACAGAGATCTCCGCCATGACACCAGTAATCCCAAGTTCTTTGAACGCGATCCACCGGAACTCAAGCCTGGAATCAAGATACAGAAACTGAGAAAGGTGAGCGAGTTCCTGTGTGTGTCAGATTTTACTTATCTCTGAGATAAATTTTGAAAAGCTTTCAAGTTTTATTGTAAACCGTATAAAAATTAAAAAAAAATAAATTGAAAAAAAAAACACTTGCTGGAAAACTAGTAAAGGGATAATATAAAATTCACTGCCAATTTACAAGAATTATTTAGGTCAACTATGATCTTAAAAACCCCCCCAGAAAATAAACTTTAGAATATTTATCTTGATATGAGTTGTTATCCTGAATCCAGGTTTTGGTTTAATTTAGTGGTTGTATATCTGTGGCTACACAGAGCTAACGTAGTAGTAACAAAAGGATACTTTCATTTTTATCATTCCACGCGGTCTCTTCTCGTAAGTACAAAGTGTAAATATTAGTAGAACAGAAATTTTATTCTGATAAAAATGAAAAAGAATTTATTTTTACCTTTTTGGACCCAAGTTTAGATCTTCCGATGAATATCCTATTCACATTTATTGATGAAGGAGCATTTGTTTTGAACATCGTACAATTTGTAGGTCCTCTGGCAGGTCCTCAGTATTTTAGGGAATCAGTATCCCATCAAAGCAAGTTTTTTTGTACTTTTCTTCAAGAGGTATGGAGTTTCCTCTAGAGGTTTGGGGTTTCCTCTAGAGGTATGGGGTTTCCTCTAGAGGTAAGGGGTTTCCTCTAGAGGTATGGGGTTTCCTTTAGAGGTTTGGGGTGTTCTCTAGAGGTTTGGGGTTTCCTTTAGAGGAATGGGATTTCCTCTAGAGGTTTTGGGTTTCCTATAGAGGTTTGGGATTTCTTCTAGAGGTATTGGTTTCCTCTAGAGGTTTGGGGTGTCCTCTAGAGGTATTGGTTTCCTCTAGAGGTATGGGGTTTCCTCTAGAGGTATGGGGTTTCCTTTAGAGGTTTGGGGTGTCCTCTAGAGGAATGGGATTTCCTCTAGAGGTTTTGGGTTTCCCCTAGAGGTTTGGATTTCCTCTAGAGGTATGGGATTTCCTGTAGAGGTTTTGGGTGTCCTCTAGAGGTTTGGGGTGTCCTCTAGAGGTATTGGTTTCCTCTAGAGGTATGGGGTTTCCTTTAGAGGTTTGGGGTGTCCTCTAGAGGAATGGGATTTCCTCCAGAGGTTTTGGGTTTCCTATAGAGGTTTGGATTTCCTCTAGAGGTATGGGATTTCCTGTAGAGGTTTGGGGTTTCCTGTAGAAGTTTAGGGTCTCCTCTAGAGGTATGGGGAATGTTGGTAGAATATCCCATCTCATCTATCAGTTCTTTTTTCCATCGAATTTTGTAGGTATTCGGTCGAGGCAGAAAGAAGAAAGTCGCTGTGGAGGGGACGACTCTAAATATTTATGAGGGACAAATCACCGCTCTCTTGGGTCACAATGGCGCCGGCAAGACCACCACCATGTCAATGCTAACAGGTGCGTGATTACGTCATTACGTTTCATGCTGACATTATTTCCTGACCAAAGAGGAATTTTATTGAAGTACACAGTCTGTTAATATCTATAACTGATATGTTTAGCAAATTTTGCATCGAATTTGATAAAATGTGAAGAATTTCTTAAGAGAGAGTCTCACAGTTTGTATTTTGAAATAGAATCTTTTTTGAAGGAGAAACGCTAAATCAATTTCTGCAGTCCCAGTATGAAAAGGACGACAGTTGATACATTACTGAAATGTTGAAACGTTATACATCCATAAGAAAATTATATTTAAGAAAAAAACAAAAACAAAACAAAACTCACTAAAGTCACCCCATTGGTAACCATTTAAGGTTTTGAATTCTAATACAAGCCAAAAGACTTGTGCTATATACATGCATATCATTAACAACTTGTATTTTTTTTTCAGGTTTCCTACCTCCTTCTAGCGGCACGGCCAAGGTCAACGGATATGATATCATGACGGATATCGACAAGGTCCGACAGAGCATTGGGCTTTGTCCGCAGCACGACATCTTGTTTGAATCTATGACGGTCGAGGAACACTTATATTATTTCTGCAAGGTATGAAAAGTAAACCGTTTAACACTGCCTCAAAGTCTATTAAATATGTATTGCAAAGTAAACCATTAAGCAATGCCTCAACACTATAAATGTATGAAGCAAAGTTAACAATTAAGCAATGTCCCAGCATCTATTAAATGTATGAAGCAAATTTATTTAAAGCAATATGAGCTGCATTTTTTGAGAATTTCATTTTGCTGTTAAAATGTGTTATTATGATAAATGTGTATGCAATTTAACCCTTTTTGATCAATTAGACAGAATTAAAGTTTCAAATTGTTTCAGAATAAAGGATTCTGTTCAATCAAATGTATAGTATTATATAAGAAATCAATATTCTACAGGACGACAATACTGTAATTTTGCTTTAATCAGAGCTTATAAATAGTTCTTCCATTGCAAATATGAACAATAGAAGTTTATAAACGTTCTTTTTTTTCTGTCATTGAAATAGTTAATTACAATTTTGCAACAAAAATTTCTGACATCAAAGTTACAGCTCATATAACTTTAACCATTAAGCAATGCGTCTATTAAATGTATGAAGCAAAGTAAATAATTGAGCAATGCTTCAGCGTCTTTTGAATATAAAATGCAAAGTTAACCATTGAGCAATGCTTCAGCGTCTACTAAATGTATGATGCAAAGTTAACCATTAAGCAATGCCTCAGCATCTACTAAATGTATGATGCAAAGTTGACCATTGAGCAATCCCTCAGCGTCTACTCAATGTATGATGCAAAGTTAACCATTGAGCAATCCCTCAGCGTCTACTCAATGTATGATGCAAAGTTAACCATTGAGCAATCCCTCAGCGTCTACTAAATGTATGATGCAAAGTTAACCATTGAGCAATCCCTCAGCATCTACTAAATGTATGATGCAAAGTTAACCATTGAGCAATCCCTCAGCGTCTACTAAATGTATGATGCAAAGTTAATCATTGAGCAATCCCTCAGCGTCTACTAAATGTATGATGCAAAGTTAACCATTGAGCAATCCCTCAGCGTCTACTAAATGTATGATGCAAAGTTAACCATTAAGCAATGCCTCAGCATCTACTAAATGTATGATGCAAAGTTAACCATTTAGCAATGCCTCAGCATCTACTAAATGTATGATGCAAAGTTAACCATTGAGCAATCCCTCAGCGTCTACTAAATGTATGATGCAAAGTAAGTAATTAAGCATTGCTTCAGCGTCTATTAAAGTGACACATTGACGCAAAACACGAGAAATTTTGTTCAATTCTTGAAAGTGTAAGGTTTCGTACTATTGCACTTTTCAGAACCAAATGAATCTATTTTTAAGAGGAAAAATTATTGTCTGCATTTTAAAGAATAAAAAACTTAATTGTTGTCTGGATTTTAACGAGGAATAAATTTACTCACCCCTTCCTCCTTTCTGTACGTGAGAGCAGAAAACACAAACAAGTTACAACTGTTACATAGTCTCAAGAACCAAACATAAACCAAACGTGAATTGTTCCTAGACTGAGGATTTTGATACATGCAACTTTCGAAAATAGATTACCTTTGCAGTAATTCGATGTTGTTAACGAGGTTTACGTGTGCCGTAAATAAAAGTCGAGTGACGTTGACATGAACTATAACAACGGCGTGGCAGACGCAACCTTTGTTTTTCTGGCAATTATATTTTACACATTTTGCTTGCTTTACAGTGTTGGGTTAGGGTTATTGCAGATGAGTTTGTCAAAGCTTCGCTTTGCTCATTTCTTGTTAAATATCTATCGATAATGATACAAATATCATAAAATAAATATATGATTTTCACTTACTATATCTCTCTAAATGGCTTAAGAATTTTTCAGTTGGTAAGACCGCTTGATTACAGATAGTAAGGATTCATACTGGTGCCGTCTTCTAAAAAGAGTTTTAGGTTTCTGATTTCAAAATGTCCTTTATGGTATTAAGGTAAAATTCACTATAAGGGGTTTAATCTTTAATTCAGCTGAAGGGAACTCCAGCAAAAGATATCAACAATGAGGTGAAGGAAATGATCAAGATTTTAGGAATGGAAGCAAAAACACACTATGCGGCTGGAAATCTTTCAGGCGGACAAAAACGGAAATTGTCCGTGGGAATCGCCATCATAGGTGACTCTAAGGTTTGTATTTTAATTCAGTCTATAATTTATGTCAAATAGTGAGTACAAATCACAAAGCAGTACAACATTGACGGGTTTGAAAGAAGGACTGCTGATGAATGTTTGTCTATTAATGTTTACTAGAATAGGAGAAATTGTATTCCTCAAAACCAAAAGAATAAATGAAGTAAAGAATAAATGAAAAGAATTCACTTCACACCTGACTTCACAACAGCATTGGTATCAAGCTCTTCTTTCATTTTCTAAATTAACGTAACATTCCTGCCCATAGACACTGACCTGACACACAATACAATGCAACAATTTACATATCTAAAAATACATAAATATATTTCGGATTCTATTGATTGACTGTATGTTGTTTTACGTCCCGCTCGAAAAATTTTCACTCATAGAGACGTCACCATATACCGATGAAGGGCTTCAAATTTAGCTTTTTACTCGGCATTAAGGGCCATTGAGTAGTGAGGGTTCTTTATCGTGCCAACGCCTACCGTGAAACGGGGCCTCGATCGGTTTTTAAGGTCTCATCCGAAGGACCCAAACCTTTCACTTCAAAGTGTCGAGCGCTTGGCGAAGGAACAGTTGCTACCTATTTTTATCGACTTAGGTCAGTCGCGGCCGTCATTTGAACACAAGACCTACTGATCACGGAGCGAGCGCTCTACCGACTGAGCTACCGTGACAGCTTTTGGATTCTAAGAAATATTATCAACAGATATGTGCTGCATGCTGCATAGTTGATAAAGCAATACTTGTAAAACATTCTCAGTTCAATTTGTGGGATGTTCAGAGGGTCTACAATACTTTTGATTTCCATTACTGGAACTCTTCAAATTAGAGGCGTATTTTGTCGTCTGACTGGAACGACATGACGTGGCGTAGAATACAAAAGATGCCGATCGCAATCCAACCTGTCATTCCCATTAAAGAGAAGAAGAACTAAAAGACATATCTGAAAGTGCAAAATCCCTGAATTTATCATCCATTGATAAAAATTACGACACGACGTTTCCGAGGCATTACATTGAATTTCAAGATGGACTGTCAAGACTTGTCAACAACTTCCTATAATATATAATCAATGTCGTTTCAACTTCTGATGCATGTAAAGTTCGCAACAATACAGTGTCTCATTTGCATGTTTGTTAGGCGTTTTTTTTCATCGATATTCAACATACTGTTTACAAGTTGTTATGATTGTCCCAGAAATCCAGCGAGATTTGAACATTTTCCGACTTTTTCACAAAAGAGCACAATAAGAACCATAACTCTTCCATGGTGGAAATAGAAAGTATTGTGACATACTGCAGTCATTCATGACAATCAAATAATCAATAAATGAAATAGATTTCTATTTTGTTACCAGTCTATAGTTATATTCCAAAAGACAACGCTGCTCAGCATTTGGTTATAATTGACCCCCCCCCCCCCTTTATAGTCATTTAAAGTCAAAATAGAAAGGAGTAAAATATACTAACTTCCAGATGAGATGATTAAGACCATGGTTCTACTATACGTCTTCATTAATATGGAAAACAATCTTACAATCGTTTTACAGATATGCTAAGTTTGGTTTTATTTAGATAATAATAAAAACAATCTTTTTACAGATCTGCTAAGTTTGGTTATTGTCAGATAATAATTCATACCATCGTTTTATAGATATGCTAAATTTGGTTTTATTTAGATAATAACTTTAACGATCATTTTACAGATATACTAAGTTTGGTTTTATTTAGATAATAATTCTTGATGAACCCACGTCCGGTATGGATCCAGCGGCCCGGCGTCAGACCTGGGATATCCTACAGAAATTCCGGGAAAAAAAGACCATGGTTCTCTCTACGCACTTCATGGATGAGGCGGATCTCTTAGGGGACAGGATTGCCATCATGGCAGAGGGCGTGGTCAAGTGTTGTGGCACCTCCCATTTCCTGAAGAAAGCATTTGGTAATATATCTACAAATTTATATTTCTTAATCATTTAATTCTAAAGATTCAGCAAAACTGTTGAAACGTATAGAATCCATTTATAATATTCTTTGGAAGATATGACTTTTTCAGCCAGAAAAAAATGAGTTATTTCATTTGAGAGTGAAATATCTTAACAATTCTGAGATATTTGGGGAGAAATTTGTACTTAACATAATTTAAATACATTGATTAGTATTCATATTTTATTTTTCAAAATTAGAACTAGACATTGGATTGCAATATATCTTTTCTGATGCTTATAGGAGCGGGGTACCACCTGGTTATGGTGAAAGATAAATCATGTAACGTTGCCGAGGTGACAAAATTAGTTCAATCCCACGTTCCGTCCGCTGTACTCGAAAGTGAGATCAGCGCCGAGTTGTCCTACCTTCTACCATTCGACCAATCAAAAACCTTCGCTCAGCTGTTTTTGGACGTGGAGAAGAAGAAGTCTTCTCTAGGAATCCAAAGTTTCGGCACGACAGCCACCACCATGGAGGAAGTCTTTCTCAAGTAAGTAACATGACTACTATATATCAAACACAGTATTGCATGTTCTTCTGACATGTAAAAGTAAGTTTTTATTTACATGTATTTGTCATATAAAATAAGATGGGGTAGTCATTTAAAATGTTGCTGAAAAACATTTTCGCCTTAATTAACAATTTTTGCTGTATGATGCTTTGCAATCCAGCTTAACTAAGTACAGAAGAAGGAGCTCTAGAGGCTGATGTTTTTGCAGAAAATTTTACACATTATTTAGGATGTAGTTAAAATATGGTATTCTTTCTTTTTATAAGAGTCGGAGAAAGTGGTCAAGAAGATGTCGAGGAAGAGGCGGAAAGACTGAATGCGCAGGCGCATACGATCCAGCAATCTCCGGAACACAATCTAGCTTTTGTACAGGAGGAGGGCGAAAAAATCCCAATGACGGATGTTAGAGTTACCGTCAACGGAGAGGTAAATGGGGAAGTAAAAGAGGTGAACGGAGAGGCCAAGAAGAACGGTGACGTCAACTTTTCGAAATATACAGGTACTAGTACGAGGGTCATTCACAAAATAGTAGACAGTGTCCCTAATCATCATATCATTTTTACAAGATTTCAGACCAACACATTTTCATAAGTAAAATCATTTATTTTGTCGATGTGTGAAGTTTCATTCCATTTGATAAAATAGAACTCGTGTAAGTCAATTTTAAAAGCAACATGTTTTGTCACAATGGAGCACGTTTAACGACATTGTAACGTCAAAACAACGTCGAGAAAGTTTCTCAAAATTACTTCTACTTTTCATTTCATACTCGGTTTGTAGCGTCTTACTCATTTATAAAAACGTATCCCTAACGCTTGACACCTAGTTTGCTAACAATTATTTGAGTAGCTTAAAGTAGCTTAAATTAGATTGTCAGTGTTTTCAAATTCTTTACTACGTAACTCTGATTTTACAAGTTCCGCAATTGTGAAGCGCACATCACGTTTCATGACTAACTGTTTTGACACGATTTTTAACTATAATCTGTTTCTCCGCAGACTGTACATCGTCCTATTAAAAGTCTCTTCCACTCGAAAATTGTCTTTTCCATGTATATTCAAATGCTTGGCTCATTTTTTATATATTTCCTGGATCCTTCAGTATTTTCAGAGTTGGTTTTAGAGGATTCCTGACTGTAAAGCAAAATTTTATCGCTACGCGTTGCTCCGTGACGTCCTCCGACGTCATGTTTTTTTTTAATCAAGTCTACCTGTCTTTAGGAAAAAATATCTTTTCAACGAAGCAGTGTTCTAGTATTACATTACATTTAAGAATCTGAAGTTAGAGAACAAAGCTAAATTTAAATTTGAATTTTATTTCGTTTAAGCATCATTTATTAGAAGTATGACTATAGACATAATAAAGTGTATAATTAGTAAATAACTCAATTTTGACCCTTCTCCGTGACCCCATTTATGCTGTCTTAATATTTGATAATTTTGATAAATAAAACATGCTCTAATGCAAAATGCCATCATTCAAGAACAGTAATTTTTTAGTTGTTGCCTTGACGTTAGTACTAGTATGAGTATGTCTCTGGATTATGAAGGACCAAACTACCGATTTCTGTTAAAAATATTGATCTCTGTCCAATTATGGAATTATGGACATTGGTTAAATTAGAATTAATTATATGTTTAATTAGAGCTTGTTATGGTTTGATCAGAGATAATTTATAGTTAAAAATTTTAGTTAATTATTGTTTTAATTAGAGTTAATTATTTGTTTAATTAGAGTTAATTGTTTGTTTAATTAGAGTTAATTATTTTTGTTTAATTAGAGTTCAATAAAGAGATAAAGAAGAACGCTGGAATGGCGCTAACCTTTCAGCAATTTAAAAGTATGATCATCAAAAAAGCCATACATACATGGCGAAATCGAATAGTGACGTTTGTCCAGCTGGCACTTCCGGTCATCTTCACGATCCTCGCCCTCGTCATCGAATTGAACGCCACAGAATTTACGGAAGAGCCTGCTTTGTCTCTGAATCTAGCCAATTTTGAGGACCCTGTGACGATCTACAATAATCCTACAAACATTATTGCTGCAAAATACAAAGACTTGTTCACATCGGAAGAGGACGCAACCTCGGCGACGTCATATGATCGATATGTCATCGATAAAATGAAACAGGTAAGATTTCCGGAACTAGTTGAGATGTAATATTCCAAGGTTTTGTTCATGTAATAAAGCTGCAGAATGAAAACACCATTCGAGCCTAGTTCAATGGCTTGTGTTCAAATAAAAAAAAACGTGTTCATTTACAGTTTAATTAATTTACAACATCTTGCTGTCTCTTAATTTTTCAAGTAAATTTTGGAAACTAAAATACAGATTGAATAAAACACACAGATTCAAGCTACGCCGTGCTTTCATCAGAAAACTTAACTAGAATATTCTATATAGGTCGGTATGTCCGTCTACAGTAAAAAGTACATCGTGGGTCTGGACGACAGTAATCCCAATACAACCACCTACTTCAATGGTGATCCTTTTCACAGTCCCGCCATAGCACTAGCCTTTACCCTAGACGCCAGTCTGAAACATTATACAAACAATCTGACTTACGGTATACAGGCCGTTAACCACCCATTCAAGCGCAGCCTGGACGACAACAGTCAGAGAGCGGCGGGAACTGCCGGGAGTGGGTTCTCCATTGCGTTTGTCATTCTGTTTGGTGTATCATTCCTCACTACAAGCTTCATCTTGTTCCTGATCAAGGAGCGGGTGTCTGGCGCCAAACATCTACAAAAGGTTAGTCTTTATAGCTCACATCGTAATGATCTTTTAAAAGAATTTACTCTTCTAAAAACAGGACTTAGAAAAAGTCAAATCCTCTGAAAAATTTTACATGCCTTCCAATATCATATTTATTGAACTGCAGTGATATAAATTACAAGTTATTGTTCTGTAGGTTAGTGGGCTGAGTTCCCTGACTTACTGGCTTGCCAATTTTGTATGGGATTACATTAACTACTTTATTCCCGCCATTTTGATGGTCGTCTGCTTTGCGGCCTTCCAGCCTGACGCTTATTTCAAGGGTGAGCCCTCCCGAATCACCCTGATTTTGTTGGTCTATGTTTTGTTCGGTTGGGCCTCCCTTCCCTACACGTATGTCCTCCATTACCTGTTTAAGACCCCAGCCACAGGGATGGTTACCATCACAATGTTAAACATCTTGACAGGTAAGTTAAAATTAAACAAACGTCTCAAATTCTCTTAGCATTTATTAAAGATTGACACGAGAAGCGTATGCAAGATTAGCAATATCATCAAAACTGCAAGGAATGAGAGCCCCATATCCTTTGCCAAAAAATGTAGCTTCACACATGATTGCGTCTCTAAACCAGTAAATTGCTATAGCCAGTTTTCACCGTTGTTCTTTCAGGTCTAGCCACCACATTGGCTGTGTTTTTACTGATGTTTCCCACCTTTGGAACACAAAACATTGCTCTTCAGTTGGACTGGATCTTTGCCCTTGTTTTCCCGCACTATAATTTGGGCTCCAGCATCATGAACATTTATACAAACTACCAATACATAAACACCTGTGAGAGCAGTAACTACCAGATCACGTGTCAAATTCCCGCCTTTGAAACCGGAAGTTGTTGCATGGGTGAGCTATTCAGACTGGTTTTTACCTTTTAGGAAAATCAATAGTTACGAAAAGGACTATACTATATTATCAGTAGTCTTTTTCTAATCATGGTAAGATTTCTTTCCTTTGGAATTTACAGCCATTTTAAGAAATAAACTGTTTTGCCCAACAAAATGGAAAATTTCACTTGCTCTCAAATTGTATGAAAAATAATGTCTGCATTAATGCAATATTCAAATGAGTTTACTCTAAACTTATGAAAACGATTTTTTCCCTAAATTTAGAAAAGAATTTTATTGAAATTTGAAAAAAAAATCCCAAATAGCTGGTTTTATGATATTTATGTCTAAACGAATTTCACATGTCATCATAAAAGGTTAAAGGTCAATAAATGATTTTACAAATTTGTCAAATCAGGAAGACAAGTAAAGATTTTTTTGACTTCTATTCAAATTATTAAAATTGATGTGTAAACCTTTATTTATGTCATGGTTTGTGTTGATTGACTTGCTACTCAATATCTCTGGTTACGTAACTTTATTATTTATTCATCAATGACTGTGACGTATCTTTTAGATAAGTGTGGTACCCGTTGTCTGAGATTCGTCCTTGACTACCTCAGTATGACATACCCTGGGATCGGGAAATATGTCTTACTGATGGCTCTCCAAGGCGCTGTCTATCTCCTTCTGGTCACCCTAGCAGAACTTAACTTCTTCTACTGGGTTATGTATAAGTTAAGAGGAAAGCAGCACACAGCCCAGGTGTACTCCGAGGAATCTGTGGGTAGTGGCGAAACAGAGGATGATGACGTCAAAAATGAACGGAAAAGGATCAACGCAACAGAAATATCAAAGCTTCAGGAGACAGACGCCCTAGTGCTGAAGAACCTAGCGAAAAACTATGGAAGCTTCCGAGCGGTAAAGGGAGTCAGCATCGGAATTCCTCGACAGGAATGCTTTGGTTTACTTGGACAAAATGGTGCAGGAAAAACGACCACCTTTAAGATGATGACTGGTGATGAAATTGTTTCCGGCGGAAACGCCTACCTAAACAAATATGACGTCAAGAACCATATAAAAGAGGTAATACAGAATTCCCTATTGAATTAAGTGATCGTAAAGTGTCTCTATTCTACAGTTCTGTCATTTACTGTGTTAACAGGTCCAACAGAATCTTGGGTACTGCCCACAGTTCGACGCTTTGATCGATCAGATGACCGGAAGAGAGATCCTATTTATGTTTGCGCGCCTGCGCGGAGTTCAAGAGCAGTATATTGATCGGGTCGTGATGGAGCTGATAAAAGTTTTGATGCTGGAGAAGTATGCTGATAGACAATGTGGAACATACAGGTTAGAGCATTTTCAGAATATACAGGTTAGAGTATTGTCAGGTCATACAAATTTAGGGTATTGTCAGAACTAATACTAGTATTAACAATATTAAGGAGGATAACTCAGACATGAGATGATGCACCACATATAACATTCTCAGGATACTATACAAATCATCAAGATATGACCTTTTAACTTGATTCAATTAAAAATTTATTAGATATTTAAATATCTTATTCTTATTTTATTTTTGGATCTGATTTAATAAAACCTGGAACGTAGATTTAATATTGAATAATTCCAATTGTCGTGCGTGCAGTATTTGGTTGTTTTCAATAAACCTGAATAGAAAACAGATATGTAGTTGGGAGGGGATGTTTGTTCCTAAATCAATGTGTGCAATTCTGTGTATTTATTTCGGATTTCATTGAATGATGTACCTGTTGTTAATAAAAATAATGCATGATCAATAAGACATTTTCAAGACTGCTCTGAATAAACCTGATAGATTTGTTGTAACATATCATTAATATTTGTCATTTGCCAGTGGTGGTAACAAGAGAAAACTAAGTACAGCCATCTCTCTGATTGGAGATCCACCCTTTATATTCCTGGACGAACCGACAACAGGGATGGATCCTGGGGCACGGCGCCAGTTGTGGAATGTTCTCTCACAAGTCCGCGAAAGTGGAAGAACCCTCATCTTAACCTCACATAGGTACGGCTGAATTATGTCCATAACTGTAGACTACTTTAGTGAAGATATATGCTTATAACACGGTTAAAATTTGATCCTACCAAAGACTATCTTCAGAATGTTAAAGTTTCCTCTACCCAAACCCTTGACAAGTGTCGCTATTTAAAAATCGGGCTTAAACTTGACTTAAATTTTTAATAATAAACCGACCAATGACAATATCTCTTACAAAGAAAAGTTCAGTAAGAGCATGAAATTGGCATCTTACCTCGAGAAAAAAGCACAGAAAGTCGTTTTTTTTATTTATTTTTGATATTTTTTCAGTTTATTAAAACACATATGACGTATATACTTCAACAATTCATCGTTTTCAAGTGCCAAATAGCCCAGCACCTCTTTTATTTGTGATTGTGAATTCAGACACATTATGTTATTTATGTCTCTGATGAAGAGAAAGATCTTAAAATTAATCACCATAATTTATTTAAGGTAATAGGTCACAAACAAAACAGAGGATATTTCTCTTCACAAAACTTTACCCACTATAAACGCTGTTTTCTAATTGGCTCCAATCTTAGACCAGGAACAAATGAAATGTTGGCTTTCTAGCCTGACTTTTAAATAGCGACTTTTGTCAGAGGTTTGTGAAGAAGAACGATATCAGAAAGCCTTGACATTATTATGATGAGCAAACACTATTAAAATACTTTTATATTTACACTTTATATTTACTTCAGTATGGAGGAATGTGACGCACTGTGTACACGGTTAGTCATCATGGTTAACGGTCAGTTTGTATGTCTGGGAAGCCCACAACATCTGAAGAACAAATTCGGGAACGGATACACTCTGATTGTCCGACTGTCAGCAGACAATACCGACTCAAAAGAGCTCAAGAACTTCATAAAAGAGCGATTCAAGGACAGCGAGATATTTGATGACCATCACGGCTATGTCCATTTTCAGATTCCGGATGCCACGGTGTCGTTGTCCACGGTGTTCGGTGCCATGGAGGAGGCGAAGTCTAGCCTGGGGCTGGAGGATTATTCCGTCCATCAGACAACACTCGAACAGGTGTTCCTCACCTTTACAACCAATCAGGTACCGCCTAAAGAGAAGAAGAAACCGAAGGGGTGCTGCGGACTGTGCACGTGCTGCTCTTTCTGTGCTTGCACACTGTGCTGTGGAGAGGATTGATGTGGTGCCATTTAATTAAGTTGTTGTGTTTTTATCCTATACCAAAGACAGGAGACTTTAAAGAAAAAAGACATAAGAGAGAAACGCAATTCATTATGCCAAGATTGTAAGAATTAAACAAGAATGTTAACAAAGGGTGTAAAGAACCTCACTTACCCTAACAAAGAGAAAACTTTTTGAGATCTTTATTTGGATTTCTTGCTAACCGTTATATTTTGTACTTTTTGTCTTTTGTGTTGACTGTTATTTAATTGACTTATATAAACATACATGTGTCAGCTTTTATTTAGTGGATAACTGTTAACATTATATTTATTGGAGTGAAAAGCAATGTTTTTGAGAATACTAAAAAGATGTGTGAAAAATACAGTTAAACTGTTTTGTTATATGGAAAAAAACCATCCGTCATGTTTCTGCGATTTAGATTCGACACAGATTTCCATTAAATATTCGACGCGACAAATCAGTACCAGTGTACTCTGGAGTCATAAAGTGCTGTTGTTTAAGTTTGTATTTTAACCCTGTGATATATATATATTATTGTAACAGTAACTTGATCCGAAGAGCCGTATCACGTCAAGTTGACAGGCGCGGATCATCAGATCACACGAGTGCGAAGCGTCGAGTTTGATCTGATGATCCGCGCCTGTCAACGAGACGTGATACGGCTCTTCGGATCAAGTTACTGTTATAATGATGAATTTATTATATACCCCTTTACAACTAGCAAAATATAATAAAAGGAAACTTTTTGGATCAATTACCTAACTTTTATACAGTAAGCAAACCATTTTGTCAAGGAACATTTTGATGCGTGAGAATAAAAACGTCATTTACCTTTTTCCTTATAAATAACTTATTTGTTCTTTGTTATGTTAGTAGCGGTACAATTTTCTCACGCTTGTACATGTATCTAGAGATGAGACAGGGAGATATTTCTTTTCCGAACAAAATTAACCCTCATTTTCTTTTGAATTTGCCAGAGAAATGTGATGTTTTTGTGATCAGCACTAATTGTGTGATAAGGTATTGATCAATGTCACTATGATGTTTGTACCTGTAGTATATCATAGGTGATATCACACAGGATTTATAGACTGGATGACGAAATCATCCATTATTTGTGTTATTTTTTCTTGACAGATCTCCAGATTATCTCAGATTTACAAGTCTTTCTGTTTTATGAATTAATCTTTTTTATCGAAAAAATAAATGATGTTAAGACTGTTTTACTGCTGTGAATTTTGGATCTAAGAAAAAAAATTCCATTTGCTATATATTGTGCGGAATTGCCGGAAGTAAGAAGGAGAAACATAAAGTCAACATACGTAATGTATATTGAGATAGTCGGTAAGTAATGTATTTGGACTTCAGAAAAAGATATCTGTACAAAAAGTGGATAAGGTTTCCACAGTTTACATGCTATCATAAAGATATCTGTACAAACAGTGGATAAAGTTTCCACAGTGAACAAGGCTATCATAAAGATATCTGTACAAAAAGTGGATAAAGTTTCCACAGTGAACAAGGCCATCATAAAGATATCTGTACAAAAAGTGGATAAGGTTTCCACAGTTTACATGCTATCATAAAGATATTGGTACAAACAGAGGATAAGGTTTCCACAGTTTACAGGCTATCATTAAGATACAAATACAAAAAGTGGATAAGGTTTCCACAGTGAACAAGGCCATAATAAAGATATCTGTACAAAAAGTGGATAAGGTTTCCACAGTTTACATGCTATCATAAAGATATTGGTACAAACAGAGGATAAGGTTTCCACAGTTTACAGGCTATCATTAAGATACAAATACAAACAGTGGATAAGGTTTCCACAGTTTACAGGCTATCATTAAGATACAAATACAAAAAGTGGATAAGGTTTCCACAGTTTACATGCTATCATAAAGATATTGGTACAAACAGAGGATAAGGTTTCCACATATTACAGGCTATCATTAAGATACAAATACAAACAGTGGATAAGGTTCCCACAGTTTACAAGACTTTCATGATACAAGTACAAACAGTGGATAAGGTTTCCACAGTAACAAGGTATCATGATACAAGTACAAACAGTGGATAAGGTTTCCACAGTGAACAAGACTATCATGATACAACTACAAACAGTGGATAAGGTTTCCACAGTGAACAAGGCTATCATGATACAAGTACAAACAGTGGATAAGGTTTCCACAGTAACAAGGTATCATGATACAAGTACAAACAGTGGATAAGGTTTCCACAGTGAACAAGGTATCATGATACAAGTACAAACAGTGGATAAGGTTTCCACAGTGAACAAAGTATCATGATACAAGTACAAACAGTTGATAAGGTTTCCACAGTGAACAAGACTATCATGATACAAGTACAAACAGTGGATAAGGTTTCCACAGTTTACAAGACTATCATGATACAAGTACAAACAGTGAATAAGGTTTCCACAGTGAACAAGACTATCATGATACAAGTACAAACAGTGGATAAGGTTTCCACAGTAACAAGGTATCATGATACAAGTACAAACAGTGGATAAGGTTTCCACAGTGAACAAGACTATCATGATACAAGTACAAACAGTGGATAAGGTTTCCACAGTAACAAGGTATCATGATACAAGTACAAACAGTGGATAAGGTTTCCACAGTGAACAAGGCTATCATAATACAAGTACAAACAGTGGATAAGGTTTCCACAGTAACAAGATATCATGATACAAGTACAAACAGTGGATAAGGTTTCCACAGTAACAAGGTATCATGATACAAGTACAAACAGTAGATAAGGTTTCCACAGTTTACAGGCTATCATGATACAAGTACAAACAGTGAATAAGGTTTCCACAGTAACAAGGTATCATGATACAAGTACAAACAGTAGATAAGGTTTCCACAGTTTACAGGCTATCATGATACAAGTACAAACAGTGAATAAGGTTTCCACAGTGAACAAGACTATCATGATACAAGTACAAACAGTGAATAAGGTTTCCACAGTGAACAAGACTATCATGATACAAGTACAAACAGTGGATAAGGTTTCTACAGTTTACAGGCTATCATGATACCAGTACAAACAGTGGATAAGGTTTCCACAGTGAACAAGACTATCATGATACAAGTACAAACAGTGGATAAGGTTTCCACAGTGAACAAGACTATCATGATACAAGTACAAACTGGATAATGTTTCCAGAGTGAACAAGGCTATCATGATACAAGTACAAACAGTGGATAAGGTTTCCACGGTAACAAGACTATCATGATACAAGTACAAACAGTGGAGAACAGTTTCTACAGTTTACAGGCTATCATTAAGATACAAGTACAAACAGTGGATAAGGTTTCTACAGTTTACAGGCTATCATGATACGTATGTTACGTGACCCCAAACCAGCAGATGTAGTTCATGCATGACTCTATCATTATCATGGGACAGATTCGAAGCTCATACTTTCTTATATTTTCAGCACAATTTAATGACATATATTGTGAGGAAAATTCACACCGAGATATTATAAAAGCGTGTTCCGAAACTCCTTTTATCTGGAAATTATTAAAACTACGAATTTCAGGTCGCGTTTGATTGACACGCATTCTTGCACTTTCACTAAGTAAAACGTATCCTTATAATTGAAGAAATGTGGAGAATTTGGTATGTATTTATGAAGAATATCAAAACTATAACCCAGAAAATTAAGAGTAGAAACGTGAGAAAGCAAATCAACTTACTTGTGTTGTCAGTCCGTGCTCAGTGATGTGCGCAGACTAAATTAATTAAACAAACCCGGTAAAACGTAAATATTAAAAATATCAGAGCTCCTGCCCATGTTTACAACACAAATGTTTGACGTAATTTAATCAAGAATGTCTTTGTCATTGAGTTTTAAGAATATTCATGTAAGTTCAGTTTATTAAACTTAATTTTTTCTTAGTAAAAATAGAAAATTGAAATTGTAAACAAAATGGCAATGCAACTATGTCGAGGCCCCTTTAAAGCATTACTGGTTTATACGTTATAGTTACACAATAGATATTAACTGGTTATCAGTAATTACACTCACAGTTTTTATTCACTCGGGGCTCCAGCTCTTGTCTATATTTTAAAAGTCTACATGTGCCGATATCTATTCTATTGTGTAAGTCTACGTTTATGGATATATTGTCTCTTTCAAAGTCTACATGTGTCAATTTTTGTCTATTTTGTAAGTGTATGTTTGCGAATATCTTGTCTATTTAAAAAGTCTACATGTGCCGATATCTTATCTATTTTGTAAGTCCACATGTGCCAATATCTTGTCTATTTTTAAGTCTACATGTGCTGATATCTTGTCTATTTTGTAAGTCTACATTTGCTATATCTTGGCTATTATAAGTCTACGATATCTTGTCTACTGTGAAAGTCTACATGTGCTGATATTTTGTCTATTTTAAAAGTCAACAAATGCCGATATCTTGTCTTTTTTGTAAGACTACGTTTTTTGATATCTTGTCTATTTTAGAAGTCTACATGTGCCGATATCTTGTCTATTGTTTAAGTCTACGTTTGCGAATATCTTGTCTATTTAAAAGTCTACATGTTCCGATATCTTGCCTGTTTTGTAAGTCTACATTTGCTGATATCCTATCAGTCTAGACGCACATGTGCCTATAGGTAGAGCGTTTTAGAGATTACCCTTCTACATGTTACATCCTAAATGCTGTTTCTATCGCAAATGAGGCATAGATTTCCATTTTATCATGTTTGCTCCAGGTCACAATGAACAATTGCATTTAAGGTAAAATTTCTATTAAAAAAAATTGACAGTTTCCTTCTGTTTGGAAGCAGTATTTTAGCAGAAAGAAATAATACGAGATATTTCCGCTCTCTCAAAATTTTACCAAAATAACCAAATTCAGTGAATTATGGTCCCTTGCTTTCAGGATATTATTGGTTGGGATGCAATTATTTATGGTATACTGTAGCTGTCTTTCCGTCTGCCCTGACCTGTCTGTCCTACATACAAAAAATTAAAATATTTGTATAAATAAAAGTTAGGACCAAGAGGAGGGTTTCTGAAAACTGTATCAAACTTCAAGGTCAAGGTCATGAGGTAACAATAACATTTTTCTAAAGGTTTGTTACAATAAATTAATGCACGTGTGATAAAATGTTAAAACCCTGTCTCTGCTGGTGCTAAAGTTATGACCAAAGGCAACTTTTTAAAAAGTAGGTCGAACCTCTTGGTCAAGGACATAAGGTCAGCATTTATAATTATTTTCTGAAAAGTGTTGTCACAGGTAATATACCTGTAAAATATGAAACCAGTCTTCTCTGATTCAAAAGTTATGACCCATGCAAAAAAAAATGTTTAAAAGTAGCTTAAAATTTCAAGGTCAAGGTCGCAGAGTCAAAAATCATAGTACATTTGGAAAAGTTATTGTCACAAGTATTCTACATGTGAAATATGAAAGCCTTATCTTTTCTCATTCAAAATTGTAACGTTCGAAGGTTAAAGTTTTTGTGATAGAATGAAAGACGGACAGATAGATAGACAGACAAATGATATTTAATGTTATTTTTATGACAGACGGACAGACAAATAGATAGACGAATGAGATTTAA